TGCTGCTGCGCCGCCGCCGCCGCCGCCTCCCGCGTCGCCCGCTCCAGCCGCAGCCTCGCGTACTCCTCCGCCGCCGCCACCGCAGTCGCGTGTCCGCCCGCGGCGCCGCGCAACCGGACGCCGCCGTGCCGCACCTCGACGTAGTACCGTCCGCCAATTAATGAACTAATTAATGACTGATTAATGACTCATCAATTAATCAGCCGTGCCGCGCCTCGACGTGGTACCGTCCGCCAATTAATGAACTAATTAATGACTGATTAATGACTCATCAATTAATCAGCCGTGCCGCGCCTCGACGTAGTACCGTCCGCCAATTAATGAACTAATTAATGACTGATTAATGACTCATCAATTAATCAGCCGTGCCGCGCCTCGACGTGGTACCGTCCGCCAATTAATGAACTAAGTAATGACTGATTAATGACTCATCAATTAATCAGCCGTGCCGCACCTCGACGTGGTACCGTCCGCCGCGGCTCGTGACTCCGCGGTACCTAGGGGAGGGTGGGTTCGGGTGCCGTGGGGTAGGGGAGGGTGGGTTCGGGTGCCGTGGAGGGAGGGGAGGGTGGGTTCGGGGACCGTGGGGGGAGGGGAGGGTGGGTTCGGGTGCCGTGGAGGGAGGGGAGAGTGGGTTCGGGTGCCGTGGGGGGAGGGGAGGGTGGGTTCGGGTGCCCTGACGCCGAGCGGCCTGACAGGTGGAGCCGGAGCCCACCGCTCTCCTCTGGCAAGGGCGGCGCGGCGTCTGCTCCGCCGCCTGCGCCCCCGCCTCGCCCGCCGTGCTTCCCCCCCTCCTCCGGGAGCGCATCGACGTCCGCGTCCGAGTCGCTCTCTGCCTCGCTCACCGCAAGGGCTGCCTAGTTAACCAATTCACTCTGCCGCATTAATGCATTAAGTCGCTCTCTGCCTCGCTCACCGCAAAGGCTGCCTCCAGCGGCGCCATCGCACCGCCTCCGCCCTCGCCTCCGCCGCCCGCGCCGCCGCCGCCGCAAACGCCGCCGCCTCCTCCTCCTCCTCCGCCTCCGCCCAAGTCGACCAGACAGACCGCCGTCAGCGGCAGCTCCTCCACCTCACATCCCTCCCCCGCCTCCGCCGCCTCCGCCACCTCCGCCACCTCCGCCACCGCCTCCTCGCCAGCTCGCATGAACCGCGCCCTCGAGTCCCGCCCCGACACGGCACCCGAACCCACACTCCCCTCCCCCACCGTACCCGAACCCTCCCTCGACTCCCCACGCACCGACACGGCTGCCGCCGGCGCCTTCCCAGGGCTCGGCCGGCTGCGGCGGCGGCTTTTTGGCGGCGCCTCCTCCCGCACGTGCGACACGCCCGCCTGCGCGTCAAGCCGCTAGTTCACGAACTAAGTGGCCAGTCAACTCATAACTAGCCCGCCTGCGCGCCAAGCCGCAAAATCGCTCACTAATTAACTAGTGGATTGATTCGTGAATTCGACCGCCTGCGCGTCAAGCCGCTAACCAACCAGTTCATCAGTTATTCAACTAGTTTGTGGGCTCGCCCGCCTGCGCGTCAAGCCACGGGCGCTCGTAGTGCGGGCCGTAGTTCCAGGTGAGCTCGACCTATTCACAGCTAGAGGTGTGAACAGCTCGTAGTGCGGGCCGTAGTTCCAGGTGAGCTCGACCTATTCACAGCTAGAGGTGTGAACAGCTCGTAGTGCGGGCCGTAGTTCCAGGTGAGCTCGACCTATTCACAGCTAGAGGTGTGAACAGCTCGTAGTGCGGGCCGTAGTTCCAGGTGAGCTCGACCTATTCACAGCTAGAGGTGTGAACAGCTCGTAGTGCGGGCCGTAGTTCCAGGTGAGCTCGACCATGGGAGGGATGTCGTGCTTTGCGACCTGTTCACAGCTAGAGGTGTGAAGAGACGCCGTTCACAGCTGGTCGGCGGGATGTCGTGCTTGTGCGACCAGGTAGGCGCGCCGAGGCAGCACCGGCGGGTTCTGAGACAAGTCGGGCCCGGGTGAATAGCGTCTCTTCACACCCTCTAGCTGTGAATAGGTCTGCCCGAGACATGTCGGGCTGCGGGTGGGTTCGGGTTCCGTGGGGGTAGGGGAGAGTGGCTTCGGGTACCTGAGACAAGTCGGGCTGCGGGTGGTAGACGAGCTGCAAGTTGGGCGCCTATTCACAGCTGGAGGTGTGAAGAGACGCCGTTCACAGCTGGTCGGGCTGCGGGTGGCAGGCGAGCTGCGGGCTTGGCGCGCCTCCATGCAGTCGTTAATGAGGCGCATGACGTTGCCTTGCTCGCGCAAGTCGAAGAAGAGCTCGTTCTCTCCTGTTCACAGCTAGAGGTGTGAAGAGACGCCGTTCACAGCAGGTCGGGTCGAAGAAGAGCTCGTTCTCTCCTGTTCACAGCTAGAGGTGTGAAGAGACGCCGTTCACAGCAGGTCGGGTCGAAGAAGAGCGCGTTCTCTCCTGTTCACAGCTAGAGGTGTGAAGAGACGCCGTTCACAGCTGGTCGGGTCGAAGAAGAGCGCGTTCTCTCCTGTTCACAGCTAGAGGTGTGAAGAGACGCCGTTCACAGCAGGTCGGGTCGAAGAAGAGCGCGTTCTCTCCTGTTCACAGCTAGAGGTGTGAAGAGACGCCGTTCACAGCAGGTCGGGTCGAAGAAGAGCGCGTTCTCTCCCGCGGCGCGCTTGAGCGCCAAGGTCGCGTCGTCGTACGAGACGATGTACGACGTGTCGCTCACCTAATTAACTAAGTGAATCGCCTAATGAACCTCCGGCTGATTAACGGTGTACGGCGTGTCGCTCGCCTCCGCGTACTCCGCATCGCTCAGCATGCGCCCCCGCACCTCCACCACCACCTATTCACAGCTAGAGGTGTGAAGAGACGCCATTCACAGCATGCGCCCCCGCAGCTCCACCACCACCGTGCCGCGCGCGACCGGCACCGACGCGCGCACGCCCCAGCCCCGCGACCCTGGCGTGCAAAAGGCCTGCAGCTTGGCACTCCGATGAGTCGACTGTTGTTCATTTGACTGCCTCTGATTAACTAATGAAAGGCCTGCAGCTTGGCGTACGGCACTCCGATCTGCATCCGCTCGCCCGGCGAATACGCGATCGGCACGCGCCTATTCACAGCTAGAGACCTATTCACAGCTGTGAATAGGTCTGCCCGGCGAATACGCGATCGGCACGCGCCTATTATATTATATTAATAATTAACATTAATTATTAGAATAGGCGCGTACGCGATCGGCACGCGCCGGCCGTCGGCGGCGAGCTTAAAGGACCCCGCGCTGTTGATGTCTATTATATTATATATATATAATAATTAATGTTATAATAGGCGAGCTTAAAGGAGCCCGCGCTGTTGATGTCTATTCACAGCTAGAAGTGTGAATAGGCGGCGAGCTCAAAGGAGCCCGCGCTGTTGATGTCTTCGTACCCGAGCGCGGGGGGAGCGCCGGTTAGGGTTCGGGTTCGGGTTAGGGTTCGGGGTAGGAGTAGGGGTAGGGTTCGGGTTCGGGTTCGGGTTCGGGTTGGCACCTTCGTACCCGAGCGCGGAGGGAGCGTCGGCCGCGGCGAGGGCCTAAGGTAGGGTAAGGTAGACTTCTCCACACACACGAGGTGGTGGGGCAAGGGGCCAGGCTAGTCCCTCGCGACTCCACGTCTAGACGACAGGAGCCCCACGGCATTAAAAGTGCGAGGCCCAGTGCGCGTGGGTAAGCGGTGTGTGTGTGTGTGTGTGTGTGTGTGTGTGTGTGTGTGTGTGTGTGTGTGTGTGTGTGTGTGTGTGTGTGTGTGTGTGTGTGTGTGTGTGAGTGGAAGGAGGTGTGTGTACGTGTGTGTGTGTGTGTGTGTGTGTGTGTGTGTGTGTGTGTGTGTGTGTGTGTGCCTGCTCCGGAGGCACACGAGCCAGCAGCCTCGCAAACGCCGCAGCGAGCGCTCCTCCACCCGCAGCGCCACAAGACAGCCAGCCGCCGCCCCCCGCCCCCGCGTCGCCTCGCCGGCGCGGCACGCGGGGCAGCGGCATCGCCATGGCGATGGAATTTGCAAATCCACGCCGCTGCGACGACTGCGCGAGCTCGCGCAGCGTGGCGCGGATCTCCGGCGAGCAGCCGGCGGGCGTGTGCAGCCCCATGGTCAGCCAGAAGCGCGCCGACTCGGTCGTGGCCGAGACGACGAGGAGGCGGCAGCCCAGCGCGGCGCCTTTCATTCATTCCTCGGAGGTCATGCGAGGCATCGTTGCGACTTCAAGGCGGCACCCCAGCGCGGCGCCCATCTGCACCAGCAGCGCCACCAGGACGGAGCCGTGCCCCCGCCCACGCTCGTGCCTCGCTGCGGCAAGGATCGGTACCTAGTTAAAGAAGTAAGTAAGTAAGTTACGTGATTAAGCGCTCGTGCCTCGCGGCGGCGAGAATCGGAACCTAGCAGCACGGCGGCATCATTGTTAATCAGCGAACCGATTCCTCAACTACTTCGCTTCGAGTGGCGCCTCGAGGACGCCGCTTCCCTCGTGCACCTCAGCGATGCACGCTGCCACCTATTCACAGCTAGAGGTGTGAAGAGACTTATTCACAGCATGCACCTCAGCGATGCACGCTGCCACCGCGCGGCAGGAGGCTGCGTCGACGCCTCCGCTGTCGGAAGGAGGAGCGCCTCTCCAGAGCACCACCCGCCGCGCGAGCGCGTACTGCGCCTATGGGACGTGTCTCGGACGTGTCTCGGACATGCCTCGGACATGTCTCGGACATGTCCTGGAGAGCGCGCTGCGCCTTGAGGCTCATGCAGTTGTCGTCGAGCACTTCAAACGCGGAGCGCATCACCCGCTCTGCGGAGGCTCCGCCTATGGGACATGTCTCCGACATGCCATGGACGTGTCTCGGACATGTCCTGCACCCGCTCTGCGGAGGCTCCGCCTATGGGACATGTCTCCGACATGCCATGGACGTGTCTCGGACATGTCCTGCACCCGCTCTGAGGCGGCTCTGCCGTTCTCGACGCCGCCAACGCTCACATACATCGACTCCTCCCCCGCCGCCGAGTCGGCCTCGCCGCCGCCCGCGCCGCCGCCCGCGCCGCCCGCGCCGCCCGCGCCGCCCGCGCCGCGGCTGCCGCCGCTGACGGCGGCGAGGGCGGCGATGGCGGCGGTGCCCGGCACAGACCTCAGTCCGCACCCAAAGGTGTCGAGGGGCGACGCCGCGAGCTTGGCTCTGCCGGAGCGCCGCACGTCCGCGCCGCAGCGCGCGGCCGCCGCTCCTCCGTCGGGGACGGCCTCGGCGGCGGAGGAGGCGGCGCCGAGCTCGTGCCGAGGCACGCCGAGAAGGTACGTCGAGCCAGACTTGGTGACGGCCGCATCGCCCTCGCACAGCGCCGGGTGGGAGTGCAGCGGCGTCGGCGGGTCCCCGGCAGCGACGATGGTGGACGTGGTCATCAGCTCGCCCTGCCGGAAGCCCTCCCGCCCGAAGACGTACCCAGAGAGCGCGCCGTCCCGCGTCCAGCCCCACTGCTGCAGGAGCGGCGGTGCGGCGGCGGCCGAGGCCGGCCCGCTCGCTCCGTCCTCGAGGAGGGACGGAGCGGCGGTGTCGAGCTCGATGACCTCGGCGTCCGACGCGGAGTCGTCAGAGTCGGAGGGCGCTCCCACCGCGTCGGTCGCTCGCTCGGCCTGCTCTGACATGGCGCTCGCATCAATTTAAAGAAACCTGCGCGCGGCGTTCTAGAGGGCGTTTCACTAAAAAAGGAATCTCCGCGTAAAATTTCTTACAAGTTTACCTTCAGCGACGCGCTCGCCAACTCCGGAATCGAGAGACTTTGCACGGTCGTCTCGCCGCCCTGGGCTACTTGAGCACGATCACATCGCCCTCCGTGCTCGCCGGCGAGGCCGCCCCGGCGGCGCGAGTCAGTGTCCGCGTGCAGGCCGCCGGCTCGGGCGCCGAGCTTCGCCTCTTTGTGTGCTTGCGGCAGCGGCAGCCCCGCCGTCAGCGGCGGGCGGCGGCAGTGGCGGCGAGTGCAGAGGCAGCCGGCCGCACGGTCGTGGCCTTCGATCTCGGCTCGTATGCGAGCGCGATGACCGACGCCGAGGTGGGCGCGATGGCTCGCCAGCTCGGGCTGTGCTACGGCTACAACCGAGGCCTGCCACAGCCCTTCCGGCTGGCGCTCTGCGGGCTGCGAAACGCCGCTCCCGTCGCTGCACGTCTGGAGGCACACTGCTGGCGGTCGTGGGTGCTCGGTCGGCACGAGGAGCCGCCGTGGGGCACCTGGCCCGCCGCTTCGCTAGTCTACCTGAGCGCAGACGCCGAGGCGACCCTCGACCGCATCGAGGCTGGCGACGTGCTCGTCATCGGCGGCGTGGTGGACCACGCCAACGTCGCGAGCCGCGTCGGACTTGCTCGCGGAGTCGCCGAGGCGCACGCGGTCCGCACCGCGCGGCTTCCTCTCGACGGCATCGTCAGCGTCCGCAAGACGAGCCTCACGTGCCTGGCCGTCCTGCAGATCCTCGCCAACTTTGCGGAGAGCGGAGACTGGGCGGCGGCGGTGCGTGAGGCGCCCGCACTCCACTGCGCGCCGATGCGCAAGTACGTCGTCTGGCACTGAGGCTGCCGGCGCCGTACGTCTGCAAAGTTGGATTTTTATGTTTACCCAGTGTACTTGGAGCACTTGGAGTGCGGTCGGTAACCTCACGCCCAGCACGTGGGGAGCTAAGAAGCGCACCCAGTTGGCCAGACGATCGGTATCGGGTTGCGGGCTAAAAAAAGAAAGAAAACACACAACCCAAGGGTTGCGGGCTAGAGTAGTACTAGAGAGCCGTAGCCCTAACCTTTTGGGTTTTGGAGCACTTGGAGTGCAGTCATTAACCTCACATCCAGGGCCGGGGAGCTGAGAAGCGCACCCAGCGGGCCGCCTTCCAAAGCATTATTTTCCGTGGAGGCGGCGATGAGGGCTCGCGACGGAGGAGAAGGCGTGCGCGGGCTTGCTCATCCTCGCGGCTTACTACGGCGACGTGCAGGCGGCGCTGGCCGAGGCGGGCGAGGCTGCGGACGAGGAGGAGGAGGTGGCGGTGGGGCCCGCCCGGAGGCAGGGCAGGCGAGAGGGGGGGGG